TTAATTTTGTTCACCACAATCATAAGTATGTCCACATATTCCTTGACAGATTCAACCTCTTGCATCTTGAGTACCTCAAATTCTCTCTCAAGTTTAAGACTTGCATGTTGCGAGTCTGGCTACTCCCTCTAAACTCCTCCTTGAGGATGTCCCAAGCTTGTTTAGGGGTCTCACGCGCCATGATTCTAGAGAAAACTTGGTCTGCCACAGCCGAGTGTATACAAGACAAAGCTCTTAGAGCCTTGGCTGCCTCCTCTTCATGGATTCTAATTTGGTTCAACGTCGGGTTTGGTCCAAGTTGGGGAACTTGCTTCTCCTCCTCCACATATTTCCACAAACCATGGCCTCTCAAGTAGGTTTTCATCTTGACAGCCCAAACATGGTACTGGTCACCATTGAAGATAGGAGGAGAAAGTGGGGTTGGATTTGATGCCATGAGGAATCTTCACTTATGGTGGTTTTTTTGGTCCTGAAAGATCAAGATTAGCTCTGATACCAATTGTAGGTTTTTTAGTCTGATTTTGCTAAGAGAAAGAAGGTTAAGATGCATGAAAGAGAGAGTTGAAAGGAGAGGAAAAATTATGTTCAAAGTTTGCTCTGTTTTTGTTCATAAACAGAGAAATATAAAGACAAGTTTTCATCACTGTTACAACTACTCTACAGTGAGAACCTTTTTCAAATACAAATACAATCTAAACAACACTAACTAATACACATTTATAATGACATATGCTAGCATAAATCACCGACTGTCCTCACCTAAACTATCATATATTATATTAAAAAATAACCAAAAAAACAACATTTGACAGATAGCCTACAACCAACTCAAATATGGCGCCAAACATTCAAACTTGAATTGCTAAATAGTTTCTAGCAAAATATCACATACTTTAACACATTCTCCTTGCTAGTTGTTGGTATTTCTCTTAAGATTTATGTAGCACTGATGTTAATCTCCTCCGACCGATTTGTTCTTTGGTTAAAAATGCAAAATAAAACCTCCATCTTGCAAAATAAAACCACAAATTCTTCACTATTTCCTAAGAGTCGGAGATGGTCAAATAAAATGACACAATACAGTCTGATAAAGTTCTCTCTGAAAGAAAAATCCATGCCTTGCATAAATCTCTTCAAGTTATTAAACATTGAATTTAAATATGAAAAGTGGTGGTCTATGTCTCATATAGAAGTCTCGGAAGATTTAAAAAAACTGATGTTCAAGTATTTCAAGAAAAAAGCTGCCGAATGGAAGGGAAAAGTAAAGTTTCCTTTAAAACACTGCCTATAGCCAAAACAGTAGCATATGAGGACCTGGGAAAACATGATCCAAGTGTCAATGGAGACCTTGGGAAGAGAATTCTCTTCTGGCACATTGTTATTGAAGTTTGGTACCACTTAGAGGCCGTTCGGAGACTAAGCAGGAATTTGCCATTCAGGTTTGTTATGCCTGGAAAAGTAAGGGCTGACGTGGGAAAGTCACGTGAAGAGTGACTTGCTCCCGTCAGAGTAACAAGCACACGTCAGGCCTGCCAAACGATGTGAGGCTCCCACGCGTCCCTTTCCCCTGCAATAAATCATGCAAAATCAGCTTGGGAAGAGAGCAATGGGACATAAAGCCGGATTATATCCTGACAATCACACCAACCCATGGATTTAATGATGATTACACGCTTCAGTTTGATATAAAATGAAGAAGACCCCTTCATTAAGGGGATTCGGCCATTTTTACACTGAAAAACTCTCTCTCTCCTATAAACAACACATTTACTTTTTCTAAATCTTTTGTAAGTCAGTCCGCTGTTGCGACCTGACCCACACTATCAATATCAATACAAATCAGTGGACGTAGGACTTGCTACCTTAGCATCCGAACCACTTTAAAAACTCTCATAGCATTTATTTCGCATTCTATATTCGTATTCACGTGTGCTTCTTGACCAATCAACGCTACGCACGTGACAATTAGTTGGTGCCAAAACCAAGCATCAACAGGGTTCATTGTAAATTAATCAAACGAATCTCAAGGTACATGCTGTATCTACTAGTTGTGCATCCTACGATGGTATCAATTGGATTGGCTGAGACTAGCTTTCACGACATAAGCGCTGTAGTTAGGGGTATAGTTTCACCGGCAAAAGATCAGTCGAAAGGCAAAAATGGAGGCCCGCCAATTGATAAAACCATAACATGCAAAAGATTGGTTGACTTATATTTTTTTGGATTGGAAGAAGTCTTAGGGGAGGCGTTGGAGCATATTCAGAAGATGAAACATGAAGAAAAGGTAGAGGCTATCTAGCTTTCACCATTCTTAAATACATTGATTACATTCTTTAATTAATAATCTTGAATTAATGTTATGGTCAGGATTTGGTGGAGAAATGGAAAAAAATTGATTGCATTTGGCTTCAAATACTTGCTTCTGTAGCAAGTAAGTGTAAAGAGAGAGAGCATGCGCAACAGCTTAGAAGTGGTGGAGAGTTTCTAACTCATGTATGGCTTCTCATGGCACATTTTGGCTTAATTGATCACTTTGGACAGCCAAATAGACAAGAAATAGTTAGGTTCATTCCCAAGTAATTAATCAACCAAGTGCCCTCAAAAATATTTCTTAGTTGTTTTTACTTCATCGAAACCCAGAGACCTTTCTATAATCATCAAAATAAATTTAATTACTTCAATTGTTGTATTAATAAATTAGAATTTATTTGATGTCTTCACATCTATATCACCATTTGGATGAGTTGAATTGATCGGCTACTATAAAAATAAAACCATATTATCTCTCTCCTAATACTTCATGATATAAGTAAATTGATATAAGTAAGGGAAATAATTTTTGGCCCCAACTATTTTCCTCGTTAGTCCCCATCTTGAATTTTAAGTGAGGATAGAATTGTAATAAAAAAATTCTTCTTCTTCTTCTTCTTCCGTACTTTTACTTCAAAGTTTTATATTTGTTGTTATAAAAGGTTAAAAGTATATTTAAATCAATCACAATTAGCAATAAAACACGGAAGTTTCTTAATAGGATTCTGTGATACCGAGTGTTTTGTTTTGATGGGTATAAAGCCGGATTTCTCTTATGTTAAAATGCCAATTAGAATTGATTACTTGATTGTAAGAGTATTGAAATTGTCATTCTATAAACAAATTAATCTGTAATTGTGTAATAACAATATTGATTGATTTTGTTTCATGCGTTAATATTGTTATATTTGATTTATTAATATTTATTTTCAATTAAACATAAATTTGATAACTATAAATATAAAGCTTTCAAGTAAATGTATGGAAGAAAACCCTATGGGGTTGGCCTGATGGTCAAGGATGCTTGCTCCCTTTATTGACTTTCTGGGTTAAAACCACTTTGTGACTTACTTGGTCCTTTGGATTTGTAAGGTGTTCAATGGATCTCGAAAATTAATTGAGGTATGTACAAGCTATCCCAAACATCTCGATTACCAATATATATATATTATATTATATATCTATTATACCTATAATCAATTATATATATATATAGATATATATATATATATATCCTCATTCAAAATTGAAGATGAGGGTTAAACATTCCCATTATATATGCTCATGGATCGAGTGCTTGTTTGGCTTTCTGTTTAAGAAATATTCCAATTATTAAGTGGAATGTTTTGAACAAATGCTAGAGATAATTTTAGGAGATCCGTAGATCAAGTTTCGATGATTTCATGGTCTCTTGAACTTGAATAGTGTAATAAAAGTGTGATGGGTTCAAACACCTAGCCACATAAAGGGTTGTGGGTTCAGTTGAACTCACCCAACTTTTTAAAATTTTCAAAAAAGTATTAATATTTTATGAATTTTATAATTTTAACCCCACTTAATTTCATATTGACCTCTTAAATTATTAATTAACAGTTTTTTAACTTTTCTTTCTTCTTCATTTCCTCTCCTTTTTTCTCATATTATATTTTTCCTTTGGTTAAAAACTCAAGAAAGGCCACTCCTTTGGATTACAAGGTAAGATGATGCTCATTTTATTTTTATTTTTTTTTACTAAAAATTCTTTTCTTTTAGCTTTCTTAATTGATGAAAAATCATGAGCTATGAGTTTTTGCTGAGTTTAATGAATGAGTTTGAAACTAGAAGATTAAATTACTAGATTTTAATGTGGGTTTTGATTTAATCTTATTTATGTTGATGTATGAGTTAATTAGTTGTTGTTTTAAGTTGAGTTTGATAATTTTTTGTTAGTTCTTGAGTTAATTTTGAATAGTTTAAAGAATTAATGAAACCGTAAGTTGTAGATATTTGGGGATTATGCAAAGTTTTCAGAATATGAAAAAACGTTGAGGACAATTGTAGAATTGATAATTTAGTATGTATAACTTTTAAAAGTACATTTTTTACGCTTATTACTTCAGTATATATTTTATTGTAAATTTATCAATTTTAATGTTTTGAACTTGACTCAGAATCCTGACTACGTCATCCCTAGATGGGTTTGTCACTTCTACTATCTCTAGCAAATGAGAGCCCGAGTAAGTTGATAAACCTTTGGTTCTCCTAACTAAGATGATGTGTTCTTGGTGAATGATATTTGTGTGCGGTTAAAAAAAGATCTGTGTGGCGTTTGTTCAAAGCAAACAATCTCTGCTTGGTTTGATATGACCTCTAACGGTAAAAATTGCCTATAATATAATAGGCTTGTAGTGGGGCTCTTCTGAATAAAGTAACCACCCAAAGCATATGCTAACATACTGTTCATATCATTAGCCTCAGTCACTCAATATCTATTACTATTTCCTGAATATTCAATTTATGAATGCATGGTTTTTTTCATCAATGTTTTCAGTGTTATAAGCGAGATACTTTTGTTTGGATTAAGAGAAAATGAACGAGAATAAAGAGAACCATAGAGATAATGAATAAAGAAAATCGAAATAAACCATATTAGCTTGCTCAAATAAGCTTATGTGACAAGTAATGGAAAAGATGAAAATCATGTTCTCACATGGAAGAAGAGACAGAAAATTTATTGGTGGGAGAATTACAAACTAAATAGAGGAGAATAGAAAATACCAGGACGAAAGAAGCAATGACATCAACAGAATGGTATTTGTCCCAGAGTGGCATTTCAATCCTAGAATAGATAGAAGAAAATTAGAAAAACAATGATTAAATTTACACACAGGATATATAGTTAAACAAGGCAAAGCTATAAAAACTCACCCATCGAATTTTCACAATATTATTATTTTGTTTTCCAGTTGGACGAGTGATGGTTCCTTTCTTACCAAAGGATTCTTCGATTTGAACGACACAATCCTCTTTCACATTGGTCAAGGTCAATTCCTTCAAGAAGGTCACATTCTTCAACGCCTCAATCACAAAATTCTCTGTCATATTGGTCAAGGTCAATTCCTTCAGGGAGGTCACATTCTTCAACGCCACAATCTTCTTTAGTTTATGGCAATCTCTCAGTTCCAAAGATTTCAGCAATGGCATCGCTTGTTCATTGATTTGCCAGTCTCTCAGTTCCTTCAGCTTCCATAACTTCAGGACGCAGAGTTCCGGAAAATCATCCCTTTTACACGTCATTTGTTTCCCCTGGTAGGAATCCGCAAAAAGCCTGAGGACCTTCAACTGCTTCAGCTGCCCTAGTGTGGCAATCGAATCTTCATTTAGTCGTGTCAATGACAAGGTAAGGATTCTGAGATTTGGGGGAGGTTGGATTGACTTTTGTAACTTGCCGACCAAATACATCTCCTTCAGCTCCTCGTGACTCTTCAGCGATCCCAAATCGAGGTCAGAAGGTTCATCATTATCATTTATTGTTCTCAACCTTAAGGAACGAAGAGTGGTCCGTTCAAGAATCCATTCGGTTATGATCTTGAGTGATTTTGTGTGGGCTGTCAGCCCCACTTTCCGAAGACACTTCAGTTCATTCCACCATTCACGTTTCGGGCACTCAGTCTCGCGGATGAAAAGACCCCACAAAGTCAGAAGCTTGCTTAAAGAACCATGCTTTAGACTCTTTAGAGTCGACAATGGAAAACTAATCTCGTTGAGGTATAGATGCCGTAGATGCTTTGCTTCCAAGATGCCCTTAGGAAGAGTTGTGATATTAGTGTTTTTGACATCTATAATCTGCAGGCAGGGAAGATCACCAACTGATGTGGGGATTGAGTCCACAAAGGTCTTTCTAAGGCCTATGTGCCGAAGAAGAAGGAGTTTTCCTAGTAATTTAGGAAGAACTGGTTTGTATACACCTTCAAGATCAAGCACTCTCAGCACTTGAAATCCTTGTTTAATGATGACATTATTCAGAAAATTGCCTACACTCTCTGAAGTTTTGCCTCCCTTTTGGGTGTTGCAAGATATATATGAATGTAGATTTTTAAACCAATCATCCAAAGGAGTGCCGTCCTGGATATCCCAATGTTCTGCAAGCCTCCGGATGCATGAGATGGAGGAAGAATTTTTTCCTTTATGGAGGTAGAAAAATTCCATCTGCTCAGCCTTTTCAATGAATGTACTATACAAAGTTTTCGGCAGACGACAAGTTTTAGGGCTGTCATCTAATCTGCGTTTTGTTACTTCAATCAAGTTCCTTTGCACCAGTTCGTCAAAATCACTCTTCACCTGATCTTCAGGGGCCATTTCTGTCACTTCCCCTGGTATTCCTAATCCTTCAGGAGTCATTTCTGTCACTTCCCCTGGTGTTCCTAATCCTTCAGGAGTCATTTCTGTCCCTTCCCTTGGTGTTCCCAATCCTTCAGCAATCCATAAATGAAACAACCTCCTTACAGGGATCTCATCCGATTTGGGGAAAAGATATAAGTAATTTACTAATGCTTTCAATCGGGGAGGTAGATACTTATAGCTCAAAGTCCAGATATTTTTATTATCCTGTTTCTCCCAGGTAGTACGTTGTTCTGTATATTCTTCTTCATCAGAAGCTTCCTCTTGTTTTTCAGTATCTTCAACACTTCTTTCTTTTATGATTTCTCCTTTCATTTTCTTCTCAATCTCCGTGAACCATTTATAATAGTCCATGTCTTTTTTAGTACCGGACAATAAACCTCCCAGCACATGTATTGCAAGAGGTTGTCCGCGACAACATTTCCAGAATTTTTCCTTGAGATCCGACTCTTTATCTTCCAAACTTTTATCTCCTCTCAACTTCTTCAAGATCAACTTCCAAGAATCATCTGCATTCAGTGTTTTTAGCTCCAGAATATTAATTGATGGACTGAAAATGCGGGCTATAAAAGCGTCAGAGGTAGTTATGATCACCCTGCTACCATTTGATAAGCCTGGTGAACAGATCTTCTGGAGATCATACCAAGCAGCTGGTAGGTTGAGATTATCCAAGACAAGCAGGAACTTCTTCTGAGACAAGAAATTAGTGAGCTCAGCTTCCAAGTTTTCATTTGAGGACAATTTCTTTGCATCCGAATCCTTCGTAACCTGCTGCCACATCTCAATCAAGATATCTCTCTCGTCATAATCATGAGAAATGCTAATCCAGGCTCGGCAATTAAAATTCTGCTGTATATATGTGTTTTCGTAAACAGTTCTCACTACAGCTGTCTTGCCAGAGCCTACCTCACCCACCACGGCGATGTGTAAATTCTTGTCACTGGGAAGAAGAGTTAGTTTAGCTAACTCCAATATTTTATCCTTTCTTATTCCAATAATGTCGGTTTCCTTGTTCAAATAATCAAGAGCTTCTTTCAGAGTCTCTGAAACTTCTATTTTAATAACAACAGGAGCCTCCTCAGTAGGAACCTTCTTTTCAATTGCAATAGGAGCCTCCTCAGCATGCACTTTTTCTCCGATTGCAACAGAAACCTCCTCAGCTGAAATTTCTCTTTCAATTTTAATTGGAGCCTGGCTTTCATGTTCATCAATGGATGGAATTCCAGCCCCAACATCCTTGCTTCTAGCATACAGCGATAGCTCTCTTCCGAAGAATCTTATATCTGGATACCGTTCTGCATCAGCTTCAGGGAAACTGAAAATCACCCGGCTACCGTTTGATGAACTCGGAAGAGCAAACTTAATAATCTCCCAAAGATCCAGTGTCCGAACATCAGTTAGTACTACTAGGTACCTCTTCTCGATTAAGAAGTCATGGAGGTCTTGTTGCAGCGAATCAGAATGCTCCTCCATTCCCTCAGATTTTTCTGTGACTTGCTTAAATATCTTACGGAGAAGTAGTCTTTTGTCAAACTCCTGAGGAACACGAACCCAAGCACGACATTCAAAATGCTTCTTGACATTCTCATCTTTGTAAATCTTGAGCAACGGTTTTCTCTTAGAATCATATTCTACCACTGAAATTTGGAAAGGTGAAGCTTCTCCACTGAGGATTAGCTCTTGTAACTCCTCCATCCCGTCCTCCGAAGGGGAAGTTTTACTTTTCTTATCAGAATAACCATTGGAAATTTGGTGAGGCCCTTCTGCTTGGCTAAAACTTTTGGATTCATCTAGAACTATCTTTAGTATTGGCTTCTCGTTTAAGTTGTTGGTTTTTAGAGCTGGAGTATACTAAGGAAAGAGGACCAAAAACTGACGTGAGAGAGAGCTGTAGAGAGAGAAAATCTGAACTGAAATTTGCTCTGTTTTACATTCAAAAAACAGGGGTGGATTTATACAAGGCACACGCCACTGTTCCACCTAAATCTGCAAATTTAAAATTTAAACTAAACACACCAACTAATGCACGTACAAACATATCAAAATACATCATTTTATCAACCTAATTCACCTAAACACATCACTGAAATATTTCTTAAACAGTGACCAAAAATCAACTTCTGCATGCACAGCAGCATTTCAAACCGTGGCGCCAAAATCTTGCAACTCCCACCATGCGTTGACTTCATCATTTCCAGCATGGTATCACCATTCAACATAAGTTCCCCAATAATTTTTTTAAGTGGGTCAAAGAACGAGTTTTCTCACTTTTCAAATGCACGTAAGGCAATGCCTTCTCGTTCTGAATTGATTTTGTAACACGGAATTTGTCAATGGCATCTTCTACCATGTAAAGAGCTTCCATAAACTCAGGATTCAAGATGCCACTTGAATCATTTTGCAGGAATTCCTCTACATCTGATCGTCTGTAAATGAACTGGTAGAGTTGTGGAAGCAGCGGATGAAATTTTGCCTCGCCATAAACCAGCTTCTTTAGTTTTTCCCTCACATGCAAAATAGTTATGTATGCTGCCATGGATTCTGAACCTCGTCTGTTTCTTTTTTCTGAAAAAATTAAGCAACCTCTTTCATCAGCTTCTTTAGATGAAGAAGACAAAGAGAAGAGGAGAATGAAAGACAGGGAAAAGAAAAACCACAGAATATAGTGAGTGATATGTAACCTAATTAAAGTTTGTGCCAAATGAGTAAAAATAAGAGAAACCATTATGCACTATAAAATGATTTTAACACCCTAGAGAAACATAAGCTGCTTAAAGACTAAGAATGAGGGGCACAGAGAGTAAACAAAACCTTATACACAAGAGAAATTTTGAAGACCTCGAAGGTGAGAAATATTTATCATTGTTTATCTCTTATCTAGTGATAACCTGACTAAAAGTTTCATCACAATAGCAATATTTGTGTGTGACAACAAAGGAGAAAGAGAAAATTAAAGGATCGTTTTGGAAGAAAAAAATACTGTTACTCCTTTGATATTGATTTTTAAGGTAAAGAAAAATTAATAGGATATATGGCACAAAATTTGAGTTTGAAGTAGAATAGGGTAATTATCTTATTAGGAAAAGAATCATGAAATCAATATTAATTAGGAAAAGGCAAGTTATAAAACTGTTATTTAATTAGAAATTTTAATTTAAAGCTCAAAACAGTTTGATGTGACATTTAAAATAAATAAATAAAATACTACTCTTCTAAGATGATATCTTAAATTTCTTATCCTATGTGATGCGTTGCCTTACTAGACTTTGAGATGTTAGATGATATGCCAACACCACATAAAACGACACATTAATTGAGATGAAAAATTTGGGATTTCATCTAGAAACAATAATAACATTCATAATAAAATGACTATTATACTCCCGTATGTAAAGCTTTCTTAAAAGTTTTCAAAGTTAAAATAGATAGGTGCAATTTTATTTTTATTTTCTCCCTACCCAATAATAATAAGAAATGATAAACATAGTATAAAATTAAGTAATGATATGAATATAGTTTTGTAATGACATGGGATCCCTTACCTTTCTCTCTCTCTTTTAGTTAATGAAAACTCTGCAAAGCAAAGCTAGTTGATTATTACTTCTCTTCTCGTTTGCATGAATCCCAACACGTATCTACACAAGTGGATTGAAATGTTAAGAAATTCCTCAACTAAAATGGCATACAGGAAATCTCAAAACAAATGAAGATGTTGATATTATTATCAAATTTATGTTATGGTGTATGCACAGATATTTTGTGCTGGCACACTAATATCAGAAATATGCATGTTATAGTTTATTTAATAGCTATTTTTCTTCAATCTACACTATACATAGCTATTTTTCTTCGATCTACACTATACATAGCTATTTTTAGATGATCCCTCTAGAAGAAGGGGATTCTAACATATCAATCTTTCTAGTAAACCAAAGTTATCCTTTAATAGCTATTTTTCTTCAATCTACACTATACATAGTAACAATTTGAAATAGACTTTTCTATCTTTATCCATAGATCCCTTACTTTTTCAATTGGAAGTACGGATACACAAGTGTATATGAGGAGGATTCTTATATATAACAATTAAAAAAAAAAAATAATAGAAACATCTTAAAATTAAATTTTTTTTTCTTTATTGAACAGTCTTGTAAAAGTTTCACACAAAATCATATATATATGTTTGCTTAATCCCAATGGACTAAGGTAATTGCACAAATGTGGTAAACCTATGACTCGAATACAAGGCACTTTAGATATAACTAACCGTAGAGGCTAAAGAGTTTTTCATCTAACCACGAGGGGAGAGGTCACGAGAACAATATTTGTGTGTGACAATTAAGGAGAAAGCGAAAATTAAAGGAGTTGGGAAAAAAAATACTAAAACTCCTTTCAAATTGACTGCTAGGGTAAAGAAAAACTAATAGGATACATGGCATAGAATTTGAGTTTGAAGTAGAGTAGAGTAATCATGGGTCTGTTTGTTTGTTATTTTGGATATGATTTTGGGAATAATATTGGATAGTTGAATAAGAGAGTATTACGAGGTAAAATTTAAAAATTAACAAAAAAAAAAAACCCCTATGTTTGCTAATTTAACTAAACACCCCAATATATAATTTTTTTGTAAAATGACAAAAACACCCCCACCCACCTACAGTGCCAGATTCTGGCCATCACCGCTGGAATCTGGCCGAAAAATGGTGTTACGATGCAAACCGGTCAGATCTGGCTGGTAGGGCGTTGATATAGCCTTTTCCCGCCAGATCCACCACGGATCTGGCCGGAAAAGACCAGATCTACAGCCATATCTAGCCGTCAACGCAAAAGTCCAGATCTGGCTGTTAGTGACGGCCAAAGATATGGTCGTCATTGTTGGTCAATGACAGCCATTTCTTTGGCAGTCAGATCTGGCCTTTTCTGGCCAGATTCACTGTGGATCTGGCCGAAAAAGGCTAGATCGGTGAATTACTAGCCAGTTCCAGTCATTTGTAGGTCGTTGTGACACGGTGGTAGCCAGAATCTGGCAAGTATGGGTGGGTGGGGGTGTTTTTGTTAATTTTTAAATTTTTTGGGGGTATTTGAAATTAATAAACTTAAAGGGACTAAAAGTAATTAAAAAATATACTAATATTTATCAAATAACAAAACAAACAAGTATTTTGAGAATATGATTGAGAGTATAGATAAAAATAATAAGCCAAACGGAGCCATGTTATTAGGAAAAAAAATCATGAAATCATTATTAATTGGGGAAAGGCAAGTTATAAAATTATTATTTAATTAGAAATTTTAATTTAAAGCTCAAAAAAGTTTGATGTGACATTTAAAATAAAAAATAATACTATTTTTTCCAAATTATATCTCAAATTTCTCATCTCAAGTGATGATCTGCTGTCTTAAGTGACTTTGATATGTAAATGAAGAGTTAAGATGTTAGATATACCCACATGAAACGACACCTTATTTGACAAGAAAAATTTGGAATTTCATTTGGGAATGATAATACTGTAAAGCTTTCTTAAAAGTTTTCAAAGTTAAAAAATAGATAAACTGCAATTTTACTTTTTATTTTCCCTAGATGCAATGTTTTAATTGATTAATAATTTTCTTTTTCTCCCCACTCAATAACTGTGCAACCTTTGAGTCTTTGACCAATGTCCCCACTTTTAAATATTTTTTTGCTTTGACAACTTTAACATTATTGATAATTATTGGAAATACTTCAATATTTTTAAGTCACTTTTATTCTATTTAAAATTGGGAAAAAGTGGTGTAAGCAAAAAAAAATAATAATTAAGTTTGAAATTAAGGAAAAGATGTACAAACCAAAAACCTAATCAAATGAGGTTTAAAGAGATTTTCTTTTTTTAAAATATAATGGAGTGTGTTTAGTAAGGGAGGGTACTGATCAGTTTGACAGGGGCTAAAAATCACTTCCCTAACATTAATTTTTAAGAGTAATTAATTGTCAAATATCACATCCAACTAAGTATAAATTGTCTATTTTGGGTCTAAGATTTGACAATTAGTATGAGAGCAGATAAGCGGTGTGACAACGCGAGGTCTATAAACATGGGATGAGCAGTTTATAAAATCTAAATCGCTAGCAAATGAAATTGGGAATTGGGATTCAATTTATAAGGCTTGAACGTGTTTTAAATGAAAAATGTTTTACACTCGTAGAGGTCTCGACAGTCGACACCTTATTTGAGATGAAAAATTTGGGATAAAAGTTTTCAAAGTTAAAAATAGATAACTGAAATTTTACTTTTATTTTCTCTAGATGCAATGTTTTAATTGATTAATAATTTTTCTTTTTCTCCCCACTCAACAACGGTGCAACATTGATATATAATAAGAAATGATAAATATAGCATAAAATTAAGTAATATTAGGGATCTCTTACCTTCTCTCTCTTATTTAACGAAAAACCTCCAAATCAGAGCTAGTTCTCGTTTGCAAGAATCCCAAAAGGTATCTACACGATTGGATTGAAATGTTATACGAAAAAAAAAAAATTTATAATTATTTGATATCATAGAATTTCCTCAACTAAAAGGGAAAACAGGAAATAAATCTCAAAACAAATTAGCCAATAATCTTCAGGATTTGTAAGAGGAGATGACTTGCCTGAAAAACTCCACCGGAGAGCTAATTGATCATGTTGCTTCAAATGTTTAGCAATGTCTTCATATTATCTTCACTTCTTGGTGAAACAAATCTGATGAGTTTCTTTGTTTTTTGTTTAAAATAAGGCTCTGATATCAAAGTTTTGTCATCCACTCCAAATGGGGGATGCACTTGCTTTATGACTTGTAAAGCTTCACTTTATCATAATGTATTTAATTTTGGTAAACATTGTGATTATATGAACTATACATGTGGATCTCGTGGTTTAGTATAGCTAAGATTATGTGTATAGCTTTTCCATTTTCCCAATGCAAGAATATGATGCTAATAGTGGAAAGCAAGTAAATCAATAGACAAAAGCAAAATGTAGACAAAAGTCTTGGAATGTTGGAGGGCCTTTTTTAGGATTGACAATTACTCAAAGAATATCACTTTAACTTGGTTCTATGTATATATTTGGACTTTAGGAGCTCGAGAAAATTGAATATTTTATGAAATACGAATTGTAAATCAAAAGTAAAAACCAAAATGGGCTAATCTGTTCATTACATAACATGCGGTTCCATTGATTTAGATTAGTCTTATCTTCATCTTATGAAACAAATACTTCTAGCATCCATCAACTTCAATAAATCGATCCTTTGCAATAGCTTCTGTCCCGTTCGGACTTCTTTAACTTCACAGTAATCTCCATTTCCTGTTTCATATTTAAGAGTGTTGCTTAAACTTTAGATATCTCAACAAAAATAAATATGTTTTGGGTGAAGCTGGATTGGAGGTAATAGCCGTGTTCCATTCAACTACAAGGGTGTATGTAAGTGTTCCATTTTGAAACTTGTGGGTCTCCTTTTTATTTTTACTAAACCTCAAAGGTGTCCATGTAAAAGCCTCTGGGTCTTATTT